GCCAGGGCCCGTTCCAGTCCTGTCCTCAAGGACCTGCATCATCACAGTCTGACCGGTAACTGAAGTGTGCCCTCCTCTGTTGGGAGTGTGGCATGGTGACCAGAACACGGACGTGGACAAGAACAAAGCTCGAGCTTTTACAACCATGTCACCTTGGGCAAGGCACATCAGTTGTCAGAGTCTTCTTGGTTTCTACAACCAAAACCAGGCTACTAGTCATTCATCTCTGCAAGTGCATTGTTTTAGCAAGAAGGAGAGGGGAGAATTTTAGGATTTTTTTTTAGATTTTTATTTTATTTTATTTATTTTTCTTTTTACATTTTTCCATCTGGCATATGTATCTTCCCTTTGCACCTCAGGTGCTATTCCCAGTGTTAAGATTACAAACATGGGGCCAGCAGGTGGCGTGGTGGTTAAAGTGCTGGACTCCCACATGGCCCACCATGGTTTGAATCCCAGACTTGGTGGCTTGCAAATCAGTCAGGCACGTGTGTGTGCATGCCCAAAGTCCCAAGAGGAGAATGGAGGAGAAGGGACTGCAGCATGGCTATCCCCCCCAGGAGGTGATTCTCACTTTCCCTCTCTCTGTTTTTCTCTAGCAAGTGCCCCATGGTAAACACCTAAAGTAAATAAATAAATAAATTACAAACATGACCCGGCATGGAAAAGTACCTGAAAAATGTTTGTAAGCTAACGTAGTGAAATTTAGACCATCTTGGCATTAAATATTTCAGAACGGTTAAAGGACTAAAAAGATATTACTTAAGAAACAGGGCACTTACAGGCTAAAACCTCACTCTCGCACTAGTACAGGAGTGTCTCTGGAAGAGACGGTCTCTCCTCTGTGTCCCCACGACCGAGCACCAATGCCTGGCATAGCAGGTTCTCACTACGTGTTACTGAAGTTCAAGTACCAAATCATCGTAACTCACAATTGCTGGGCCACTCTGAATCAGAAAACACTACCTGAAACTCAGAAATGGTTTATCTAAAACTGAGTCATCACATCCATTTTCTCACAAGAAAACAAAACTGATAACACAAAGGAAACACTTAAAAATGAAAAACTAAAGAGCCATATCCCCTTCTGGACAAAGAGTCACACGTGACAGCCCTATGATTCCTGCCCTTTCAATTTGCAGTTTGAATCAAAAATATTTTCAATAAAGGTCTCCATAAATGAGTTTTTTAAACCAGGTTTTGTGGATTACAAAGAGGGGAACACAGGATAAGGTAGTCATACTCTCTTTGCAGTTTTATCCTCCATAAATATCCTAAATAATCCTAAGGGTCTAATATTTGAGAAACTGATGTCATGTGAAAAATATTTTGAAATACCAAAGAGGAACTTTATCAATGTAGACACAAACAGACCACCTTAATCTTGAATCTTTTGCTCCACTTTGTGGAACCAACAACTGAATGTAACTTGGCAGGAAACCAGCCACCAATCCATACATTATATCAGATAATTAAAAATACAGTGTTATGTAATCTTATTTAATGGTTACTTGGCTTGGATTGAAAACCATCCAAACCAATACCAGAGAGCTGGATTAAATTATAATGCGTAAGACATTTCTGAAGATGTTTTTTAGTAAGAGTCAGCATTCTCTGCTAGCAAATATAATATAAAACATGCAACACTGCTTTCATCTCAATTAACCTCCTTGGCAAGAAACTGCAATGTCGATTCACCCTATGGGCACTTGAGTGTGTCTATGTGTGCTGACGGTGGGAGGTAGGGCTGGGGATACCAAAGCCTGTCTTCTGTGACTCGGTTTTCACAGCAAGTAAACATTACCCATTACTTTCGTTAGAGAAACAAATTCTGTATTTGGGGTGCAAGAGGAGGAAAACCAGTTATCCTAGGAAAACAAAAACAGAATCATCCACGAATGCCCATGGTAAACCACAAGTCTGAAAAAAGCATAAAAGCCAAGCTGTACTGATAGGAAGGCATCTCTTAATGTCACCCCAGTTCAAGTTCTTACTTAAGATCATTAGAAAATAAGAAATTCAGCTAGGAAATTGATCGAGGTTTATAAATACTAAATTTTTCAAAAATGACTACAGTTCATTTATAAACTCATTATAATAATGTGTCACTAAACTAATATTCTGGTCACAGGAGGGCTTTAATTTTAAAAAATGCCTCCTGACTGGAGCATTAAAATCCTGTAAAATAAGTTTACCATAAATGTTGCTTCTTCAAAGAAGGCAAAGTACTGAAAGGAAGTTTGTTCGTTTTTTTAAACAGAATGAGTCTTCCTAAAGGAAGCATATTATTTCCCCTACATTTAAGTCAACTGGAAACAATCACATTACACTGATTTCTGCAGGATTTTAATTAGCAGTAAAGTATTTCATTCCATCTTTCTGGGAAAGCATCAAGAAAAAGAACAATGGCTTTAGAGACGGAAGATCTGAGTTCAAATTAAATACCAGTTGCCCATAAACTAGTACAGCTGAGGTCCTCAGCTCCCTCCCCGAAGGACGGAGAGACCAGTATCTGCCTCCCAGGGATGCACGTGTGGAGAAGGAACAAGAGACCATGTGCTTTAGAGTGCCTCGGAAACTTTCCAATAGCATGCAGACACAGGTACCAGCAGCGCTTGCCGATGCTAACCACGAAATACACCTATCACATGGCACGGCACAATCCAAGAAAGAAAGGTCTGCGGGGCTAGCCCTCCGCACAGTTCAAGTCAGAGCCAGGACACCGTCCAGTATCGAGGCTCAGAACGACCTCTGAAAGAACCCATGTCCTTAGAGGGAAATAGTCAAAAACACAGCTAAACAAAAATGAAAGTGTTTTCTTATAGCCAGTAACAAAATGGTTAACACATTTAACATCACGGCTTCCTAACAACGATTCAAATTCAGACTTAAGACACTATATTTTAGAAAGGCACTTGTAATTTTGGAGTAGTATAAAAGAACATGTTTTAAATGACAAGGTTCTGAATACCGGAAATCAGCCTATGATTTAAGGGAAAAGCGTTTTAGTCTGAAGTAATCTAAGTGAGCAGTCATAGGAGCATATGAACAGCACTTTTATCTTCGTTCACATGCGAGATACGCACTTCTTACAAGAATTATTTCTGATGAAAAGTAAGGCAATCAAGTTTAACATATATTTAAAAAAAAAAAACCACTAAATGGCAACATTTCCCCAATATCTGTTTCAAGTCAGCAGACGGCATTAACACTAGTAAAATCAGAGACCGAAATGATTTTGAAATGTATTGACACAATACTATAGCAACATGGGACAGAAAATAAGACTTTCAAAATAACTCATTATGCATTTAGGTAAACTAGTTCCTTAACTAGCACAACTTTGATTCAGCTTCTTAGGAAAACCCACTTGATTCCATAGTCTAGTATATGTCTAATGCCGCCCATCTCACACTCTGTACAAAGACATTTCTTTCACAGATGTGACGGCCCAGCAGGCAACAAAAGATATATGGAAATCTCGAGGAGCAAAGAGTAGAAACCCAACTGCAGAAGTGCCCTGAAGAGCATGGGAATAAGACTTAAATTCTTCTCTAATTTACAAAGCATGCCCGTTACTTTTTTGCTAGCCCATCTTACTAAACAAAGAATAATAAGCCTGCATTTAAAATAAAGTGGGTAGAGCTGCAAGTCGATTTCTGTTCAACAATTTAAGTGTGTTTAAATTCTTGAAGCTAGCAAGAGGCTCTCCACCACCACCATCCGTCGACAGCACACACCCTATGCCGGAGAACTGGTTGCAAGAGGCAAACACGGCGGCTGCTGTTCTGAAATAATAGGTACCTCTACACAAATAGAATATGTCTGCCTCTTCTTTCACTTCCAACAATAAAAGAGCAGGGCCAGCATTTAAGAGCAGCAGACCCGACTTAACTAGGGAACCACAGGCTGTCTCTGCAGAGTGGTCTGTGCAAAGGGTAACAGATCTGACCAGATCATGCTTCTGCCATTTCCCAGAGAAAAAGCGGACCTGGGGCCCCCAAACCCATCTTCGTCTGAAACATGAATTCCGGATACAGGAAGGAGAGAGTTCTGCTTCTGGGAAGGAAGGCTTCATTTACCGTCCATCCCGCCGACTGCCCAGGAAGCCCGAAGAGGAGGTCAGGGTAGGCGTGCCTCCATAAATCCTGCACCCCACCGCCCAGCACTCTCCAGGACCCTGCACGCCCTGGAGCTGGCTGGAGTGGGATGAAAATGGCACAGGCGGCAGAGACTTCACCAATATTCTGAACCCAAGCCAGCCACCGATGGGGGTCACCCACTCAGCACTTCCTAGAGTGTAGTCAACGAGCGGGTTCTTCCGTGGGCCTCTTTGCCCCGACTCCTCCGAGGGCCGGCCTCCAGGCTTGGCGAGAGATGCCCACGCAGGGAGGACGCCCCACCACGCAGCCAGAGCCGGGACTCAGGAGGGACACAGGGCTGGGGAGGGAACTGGGCTCTTTCCCAGGACCGCTGGGTTCTCTGAGGTGCTGGGAGTCTGACCTCAAACCTCTTCCAAGGTCCCCGAACTTCACTAGCAGCCCGCACCTGTTCCCTCACCTCTTGGGCATTTGATGCCCTCAAGTCCTTCCATTTTTTCTCTAGCTCTTCCTCCTTAGACAAGCCGAACAGCGTAGTTCCAGAGTGTACCCCACACTCCCCTCCAATGCGACCATTCGGCCTCCTCCCCAGCCAAGCCCCCAGATGTTCCGCCTCCACCCAGAAGTTTCCCCTGGGTCTCCCCGAGTCCCCAAAGATTTCCCTGCAGACTCACCCAAACGCCCAGCCTGCACCTTCCTTAGTCCCCCAAATAACAATCTCGGTCTTCCCCCCTCCCCAGGTGTCCCGCATACTGCCAGGCCCCCACCCAAATGTTCCCAGATCGCTACCCGGACCCCCACCTCTGCTCCCCGAAATCCTGCATTTCTACCCAGCGACCCTCCTCCGCCCCCGGCTCTCAACGGCCGCCGGCGGGCAGTTAACGGCCGGCGCGCCCTCACCTTGGTTCACCAGCCGCAGAGCGTTACTTTCAAAGGTCTC